ACCAGGCGCACAGAAATCAGAAGAAGGTCGCTGCTTTCTTCAAATTCTCTTTTTTTCTTGTTTCTCTTTGTATTTCGTTGCTCTCTTTTTTGGATATAGTTTTTCTCATTTTCTGCCACCACTTTCCACTGCTCAAATGGCAGAAAACCGTTAATTCAAATCTGAGATACCAGGCGCAAAGAAATCCGCTGAAGGTCGCTGCTTTTTTCAAATTCTCGTTTTTTCTAGTTTCTCTTTGTATTTTGTTGCTCTCTTTTTTCGATCTACTTTTTCTCATTTTCTGCCTCCACTTTCCACCGCTTACAGGGCAGCAAACCTTTAAATTCAAATCTGAGATACCAGGCGCACAGAAATCAGCAGAAGGTCGCTGCTTTTTTCAAATTCTCTTTTTCCTGTTTCTCTTTGTATTTCGTTGCTCTCTTTTTTCGATCTAATTTTTCTTTCTCATTTTCTGCCTCCACTTTCCACCGCTCACAGGGCAGAAAACCGTTAAATTCAAATCTGAGATACCAGGCGCACAGAAATCAGCAGAAGGTCGCTGCTTTTTTCTAATTCTCTTTTTTTCTTGTTTCTCGTTGTATTTCGTTGCTCTCTTTTTTCGACCTAATTTTTCTCATTTTCTGCCTCCACTTTCCACCGCTCACAGGGCAGAAAACCGTTAATTTAAATCTGAGATACCAGGCGCACAGAAATCAGCAGAAGGTCGCTGCTTTTTTCTAATTCTCTTTTTTTCTTGTTTCTCTTTGTATTTCGTTGCTCTCTTTTTTCGATCAACTTTTTCTCATTTTCTGCCACCATTTTCCACCGCTCAAATGGCAGAAAACCGTTAATTCAAATCGGAGATACCAGGCGCACAGAAATCAGCAGAAGGTCGCTGCTTTTTTCTAATTCTCTTTTTTCTTGTTTCTCTTTCGTATTTCGTTGCTCTCTTTTTTCGATCTACTTTTTCTCATTTTCTGCCTCCACTTTCCATCGCTCACAGGGTAGAAAACCGTTAATTCAAATCTGAGATACCAGGCGCACAGAAATCAGCAGAAAGTGGCTGCTTTTTTCCAATTCTCTTGTTTTCTTGTTTCTCTTTGTATTTCGTTGCTCTCTTTTTTCGATATACTTTTTCTCATTTTCTGCCTCCACTTTCCACCGCTTACAGGGCAGCAAACCGTTAAATTCAAATCTGAGATACCAGGCGCACAGAAATCAGCAGAAGGTCGCTGCTTTTTTCAAATTCTCTTTTTTCCTGTTTCTCTTTGTATTTCGTTGCTCTCTTTTTTCGATCTAATTTTTCTTTCTCATTTTCTGCCTCCACTTTCCACCGCTCACAGGGCAGAAAACCGTTCAATTCAAATCTTAGATACCAGGCGCACAGAAATCAGCAGAAGGTCGCTGCTTTTTTCTAATTCTCTTTTTTTCTTGTTTCTCTGTGTATTTCGTTGCTATCTTTTTTCGATCTACTTTTTCTCATTTTCTGCCTCCACTTTCCACCGCTCACAGGCAGAAACCGTTAATAAATAAGAGAAGGCGCACAGAAATCAGCAGAAGGTCGCTGCTTTTTTCTAATCTCTTTTTTCTTGTTTCTCGTTGTATTTCGTTGTCTCTTTTTTCGATCAACTTTTTCTCATTTTCTGCCTCCACTTTCCACCGCTCACAGGGAGAAAACCGTTAAATTCAAATGTGAGATACCAGGCGAAATACAAAGGAAATAAAAAAAGCAGAAAAAAAGGACCTTCGCTGCCTTTTTCGTAACGGTTTTCTGCCCTGTGAGCGGTGGAAAGTGGAGGCAGAAAATGAGAAAAAGTATATCGAAAAAAGAGAGCAACGAAATACAAAGCGAAACAATAAAAAAAGAGAATTTGAAAAAAGCAGCGACCTTCTGCTGACTTCTGTGCGCCTGGTATCTCAGATTTGAATTTAACGGTTTTCTGCCATTTGAGCGGTGGAAAGTGGAGGCAGAAAATGAGACAAAGTAGACCGAAAAAAGAAAGCAACGAAATATTAAGAGAAACATGAAAAAAAAGAGAATTTGAAAAAAGCAGCGACCTTCTTCTGATTTCTGTGCGCCTGGTATCTCAGATTTGAATTAACGGTTTTCTGCCCTGTGAGCGGTGGAAAGTGGAGGCAGAAAATGAGAAAAAGTAGATCGAAAAAAGAGAGCAACGAAATACAAAGAGAAACTAGAAAAAAAAGAGAATTTGAAAAAAGCATCGACCTTCTGCTGATTTCTGTGCGCCTGGTATCTCAGATTTGAATTAACGGTTTTCTGCCCTGTGAGCGGTGGAAAGTGGAGGCAGAAAATGAGAAAAAGTAGATCGAAAAAAGAGAGCAACGAAATACAAAGAGAAACAAGAAAAAAAGAGAATTTGAAAAAAACAGCGACCTTCTGCTGATTTCTGTGCGCCTGGTATCTCAGATTTGAATTAACGGTTTTCTGCCCTGTGAGCGGTGGAAAGTGGAGGCAGAAAATGAGAAAAAGTAGATCGAAAAAAGAGAGAAACGAAATACAAAGAGAAACAAGAAAAAAAGAGAATTTGAAAAAAGCAGCGACCTTCTGCTGATTTCTGTGCGCCTGGTATTTCAGATTTGAAATAACGGTTTTCTGCCATTTGAGCGGTGGAAAGTGGAGGCAGAAAATGAGAAAAAGTAGATCGAAAAAAGAGAGCAACGAAATACAAAGAGAAACAAGAAAAAAAGAGAATTTGAAAAAAACAGCGACCTTCTGCTGATTTCTGTGCGCCTGGTATCTCAGATTTGAATTAACGGTTTTCTGCCCTGTGAGCGGTGGAAAGTGGAGGCAGAAAATGAGAAAAAGTAGATCGAAAAAAGAGAGCAACGAAATACAAAGAGAAACTAGAAAAAAAGAGAATTTGAAAAAAGCATCGACCTTCTGCTGATTTCTGTGCGCCTGGTATCTCAGATTTGAATTAACGGTTTTCTGCCCTGTGAGCGGTGGAAAGTGGAGGCAGAAAATGAGAAAAAGTAGATCGAAAAAAGAGAGCAACGAAATACAAAGAGAAACAAGAAAAAAAGAGAATTAGAAAAAAGCAGCGACCTTCTGCTGATTTCTGTGCGCCTGGTATCTCAGATTTGAATTAACGGTTTTCTGCCCTGTGAGCGGTGGAAAGTGGAGGCAGAAAATGAGAAAAAGTAGATCGAACAAAGAGAGCAACGAAATACAAAGAGAAACAAGAAAAAAGAGAATTAGAAAAAAGCAGCGACCTTCTGCTGATTTCTGTGCGCCTGGTATCTCAGATTTGAATTAACGGTTTTCTGCCCTGTGAGCGGTGTAAAATGGAGGCAGAAAATGAGAAAGAAAAAGTAGATCGAAAAAAGAGAGCAACGAAATACAAAGAGAAACAAGAAAAAAAAAAAAGAGAATTTGAAAAAAGCATCGACCTTCTGCTGATTTCTGTGCGCCTGGTATCTCAGATTTGAATTAACGGTTTTCTGCCCTGTGAGCGGTGGAAAGTGGAGGCAGAAAATGAGAAAAAGTAGATCGAAAAGAGAGAGCAGCGAAATACAAAGAGAAACAAGAAAAAAAGAGAATTAGAAAAAAGCAGCGACCTTCTGCTGATTTCTGTGCGCCTGGTATCTCAGATTTGAATTAACGGTTTTCTGCCCTGTGAGCGGTGTAAAATGAAGGCAGAAAATGAGAAAGAAAAAGTAGATCGAAAAAAGAGAGCAACGAAATACAAAGAGAAACAAGAAAAAAAGAGAATTTGAAAAAAGCATCGACCTTCTGCTGATTTCTGTGCGCCTGGTATCTCAGATTTGAATTAACGGTTTTCTGCCCTGTGAGCGGTGGAAAGTGGAGGCAGAAAATGAGAAAAAGTAGACCGAAAAAAGAGAGCAACGAAATACAAAGAGAAACAAAAAAAAAGAGAATTTGAAAAAAGCATCGACCTTCTGCTGATTTCTGTGCGCCTGGTATCTCAGATTTGAATTAACGGTTTTCTGCCCTGTGAGCGGTGGAAAGTGGAGGCAGAAAATGAGAAAAAGTAGATCGAAAAAAGAGAGCAACGAAATACAAAGAGAAACCAGAAAAAAAGAGAATTAGAAAAAAGCAGCGACCTTCTGCTGATTTCTGTGCGCCTGGTATCTCAGATTTGAATTAACGGTTTTCTGCCCTGTGAGCGGTGGAAAGTGGAGGCAAAAAATGAGAAAAAGTAGATCGAAAAAAGAGAGCAACGAAATACAAAGAGAAACAAGAAAAAAAGAGAAATTGAAAAAAGCAGCGACCTTCTGCTGATTTCTGTGCGGCTGGTATCTCAGATTTGAATTAACGGTTTTCTGCCCTGTGAGCGGTGGAAAGTGGAGGCAAAAAATGATACAAAGTAGATCGAAAAAAGAGAGCAACGAAATACAAAGAGAAACAAGAAAAAAAGAGAATTTGAAAATAGCAGCGACCTTCTGCTGATTTCTGTGCACCTGGTATCCCAGATTTGAATTAACGGTTTTCTGCCATTTGAGCGGTGGAAAGTGGAGGCAGAAAATGAGAAAAAGTAGATCGAAAAAAGAGAGCAACGAAATACAAAGAGAAACAAGAAAAAAAGAGAATTAGAAAAAAGCAGCGACCTTCTGCTGATTTCTGTGCGCCTGGTATTGCAGATTGGAATGTACGGTTTTCTGCCATTTGAGCGGTGGAAAGTGGTGGCAGAAAATGAGAAAAAGTAGATCGAACAAAGAGAGCAACGAAATACAAAGAGAAACCAGAAAAAAAGAGAATTAGAAAAAAGCAGCGACCTTCTGCTGATTTCTGTGCGCCTGGTATCTCAGATTTGAATTAACGGTGGAAAGTGAGGCAGAAAATAAGAAAAAGTAGATCGAAAAAAGAGAGCAACAAAATACAAAGTGAAAGAAGAGGAGAGATGAAAAATGCAGTGACCTTATGCTGATTTTTGAAGCCTGTGAAGCCAATTTCCGATCGTAGAGGTCTGAAAATGTACACAATAGGTAGAATCTGCAGCAGCTTATCCAAAAACCCACAATAAAAAACGTTTCGAATTATATTAATTTAAAAATGTTGCCTTTGGGCTTACAATATTAGCTTAGGTATCTTATTTTTGTAATCGTAACACATTTAGACATGTAGAAATTAGAAATTGAAATTGGCTCTTTTCATATCCTTTTCGACTTACAATTATTTTATGCCAGTGGTTTATTTTTTTTAAATGAAGAATTGAAGATTTTTTTAACGGGGAACGGGAATATTATAAATGGAAAGTGCAAAAGTTTTTTTTAATGGTCTGTTATTTCTTTTTTTGGGAGGGTGGGAGTGTAATTATTGCTGTGCTGTTGAAGTGGGATCGGTTGTCCGAGTGTCCTTGAGTGGTGGTGATTCCGGTGCGGGATCTTCTCCGGCTCCTTCTGGTTCGACTGTCTTTTTATCAGGCACAACAGCATTGCCCATCAGTATAAATCATGAGGCGCTGCTCGTCTCGCCATTGCTCTCGTGAAAGTTGTTACCGTTCACGATGAACGAGGTGCCCAGGCCGTACAGATGTCCCGAATACTTGGCATGGTCGATATTGTCCTCAAAGAACATCTGCAAGAAGATTAATGAGCGAATCCGATTAGACAGACTTCAACATATACAAGATTGCAGATGGGGAAAAACATTGGCGAAGCAAGCATTAGAAAATGTAAGATTAGGTACACAAAGATTATACAATGCACAAATAATCTACTGGAGGAGTTTTTAGAATTGGAATTGCAAAGGTTATATGTTACATACCGTTTACCGATCTGATTAGTTCTTGTTTTAGTAATTTGTATCTTTTGGTCTTGAACGTGTCTTATTAAAGTTTTTCAATTCTGCAGTCTTTGGCTATTATTTAGGGACTAAAGCCAACGCCGTACTTAGTATATAAATAATACATTTTTTGGAAAGTTACGCCAGAATAGATCTTAAAATCACAAGATATGAGATGAGATGGAATTAACGAATACAATTTACGCAACCAAACAATAAAACATATAATAAACTTAGGAAATAAAATTGAATTGAAAAAAGGAAGTGTTAAATAAGTAAAATATTTCATCCAAGTTTCGAAAACAAGGTGTAAAATGCCTTAAATATAATTCAATTAACAATTATTTTCATGAAATAATAAGTCTTAAAATATTCCTCCCAAATCCAAAAGAAACAGAAGATAAGATAAGTGAAGCCAAAATGTAAAAATTAAAAACTGTATAGTTAGATAGTTTCAAGACCCAAAAACCAGAAATCATAAATAAAATTGAAAAAGAAAATTAATTTCAATTCATTTAATGTTCCATTCAAAAACATAGAATGTTTTCTATTAACTTCACTTTTTGTTTTCGTAAACTTTAAAATTAACAGACATGTTTAACATGACCTTAAACAGTTTAAACTAACTAAAAAACACTTACTATTATATTGATTATTAATTCATTCATTGTTCAACAGACTAACAACTAACTAACAAAAAAAAAAGTAAACACTTCAAGCTTATTAATCCATTAATTAATTGTGGCTCAGATGCCCTTCGGCACTGGCAAAAAGCACTTGCACTTTCACTCAAGGTGCAGCCTCCAATGCGTTCTAAAATCTATGTCATTATGTACAAAAATAATAAACAGTCTAGTTTAGAGATGAAAATGAGAGATTGTAAATGCTACGAACCCATAGACCTTAAGCCAAATAAATGATTGAAATAATGATTCGAGTTAGTGGTGATTGATTGATTGGCAAGGCAACAGAAACACTCAAGGATTAGGAATCGGAGCTATCCGAGCTGGTGGTGCAGGCTCTAATAAAGAAAGCATGCGACACGTCGTCATGCCCCCCACCAGCCAAGGTTGGAGATGTGGGTGGCGTGACACAGTACGAGCTTGAATTAAGAAGATTGCTACTGCCACTGCCGGCTGCTGTTGATGATGATGTCAAAGGACCGTCGTTAGAGCAGTTTCCTTCGCCATTACCATTACCAATAGCACTGGTAGTGGCAGTGGCATTTTTGGCAACTTTGTGTATGTTGTTGTTTAATAGGCTGCTAAAGAGAGCGACTATTGGCTTTAAGTGCATGGTGTTCTCAAGCAGATAGGAAAACAGTACAATAGTCTCTTCGGGGACAATGTGCAAATTATGTGCATTAATGTGCTGTACCTCACGCATTTTGAAGAATGCCATGCCAGTGAGCAGGGCATCAGAGCCAGCCTGATGTTGTGGGCCGACGCGACGCAGCTCCAGCTGATCGGCCACTTCCTGGAGGCCTCCCTTCAGATTCTTGCACGACTTCATCAGATATTTGATGTCAAAGATGTTGGGGAAGTAGATGTGCAGGAGCTCGAAGAAATCACCCTCGTCGCAGGGCAGATTCTGGTCGGTGAGCAGCTTGAGGAGGTAGCCAAAATCGTAGCCAGAGTGAAAGCACAGCCATTTGATGTTGTCTACCAGCACAATGCCAGAGCTCATGAGCAGTTCGGCAAATTCAATTGGATCGATGCCGTCCTCCTCATGCTTCTTGAATTGTATTCCAGAGTTTTGCAGCAAGTCGATCGAGTCCTGCGCATACATATCCTCGCTACGGACAACAGCATGAGCAGAATTAGTACCAGAATAAGCACAACACAATGTCATTGTCATTATTAAACCATAATCTCACCTTAGATTGAACTTGAAATTGAACTGCCATGTGGAGTATCCTGGAGGCGTCTTGCCATCATCGTCCATAAAGGTCAGACCCAGCTGAATGATCCTCAGCAGATCCACATTGCAGCGCAGCAGCTGATAGTGATAGTCGGCAGTGGATCGAAACTCACCAACGGGCCGTGCCACCACGCCGGGAAACTCTGTGTCCATGGCCACATAATGATATTTCTGCACTACCTTGCGTATGGTGCGAAACTCCTCCTCTAGGTTATGCTTCCACACATCACGGATGCCGCACTCCTCGTTGCTGGGTATGTGCACTTGGCCGTGCGGAGCGCCGCTAATGGCCGAGGGCATTGTCTGTGGATTGGTTGAGGCAGAACGTTAGATGTGTTTCTTCAAGCGGGAAATAAATGTATTATCTGTTTTATATGTGTACTATTTGGTCTGAGTTTGCTTTCTGGAGCCCTGGCACATAAGCTTCAGCACGTACGGTACAAGGATTCCATTTTAAAATGATATATTGACAAATTTTGCGATACTGGGAGTACATTTCGACAGTTCACTTCAGTTCAGTAATAAATACGAGCTCCATTTGAGCTCCAAATCATGTGCCAGGGTCCTTGTATTGTGTTGTGTTGTGTTTTTTGTGGGTGTTGGGGATTAGCAACAAAACATTAATAGTAGGACCAAATTGGTGAAGCTCGTTAGCGGAACTAAACAAAGGGTTGTAATTGGCCAATTCTGCTGTTAGGAGGTGATGCAATTTTGTCTCTTCTCTGCTACAGAAATATCAATAATAACAAACGATAACAAAATAAGGCACACAAACGAAAACGATTTTTGATATTTGCTGGGAGGTGTGGTTACTTTTTATGGGATTGGTTAACACGGACGCTACTTACATCGTCGTCGGTCGTCGCCTGTCGTTCGTGCTGCGGAGTTGCCTCGGCCACCTCTTCGACCTGCCCTAAACTCAAGCCTCAAGGAACAAGCTCTGTCTCTCGCTTTCGATATTACGTGTTAATATTGAATTGTTTCAGTTTCTAAATGACCTCAGTGCAACAATGCCTGCAACAGAACGTTGGTAAACGTTGACTTCAAGGCTGCACAATGAAGCGCTAGTGAGATGGTGAATGAGTGCAAAAGGGTGGTAGTAGTACAAGTCAGAATGCAATCGGTTTATACAATTTCTCTTTCGAAACTGCTTCTTAGATTGAACGAAAAGTGCATCGGGATGCTATTGATTTTCCCGCGCTTGTCAAAACCACAGTTAGAACGCCCTAAAAGGCGCAGTCACACACGCACACACAGACAGAACGCACACAACACACATACTGGGGCTGGAAGATGCGGACAATGCAATTGTAGTTTTGCATTAAGGCCACAGAAGCAGATCCCACTAACCGGATTGTAGACTACACAAGTGAAATGTTTATTTTCATTTGAAGCTTACCCATTTCATGTTACTTTGGAAGGACTCTTTACTGTGTCGCGGTGTATTCGGCGTCTCTCGAGGAGGCTGGGAGAAAATGTCTGTCCTATGGTGTTCCCCCGTCCTTGGTTGCAATAATGCCCTGTGTGATTACCTCTCGTAGCGAGCACGTGACCAGCACTTGCTTTATTAAAACCTGCGGCGGTGCCTCCTAAATACAATTGTATTGTTAATATTTTTGTAAATTTTAGTAAATTTTTATTGTTTAGTGTGACCGCGGACCTTTCGATAAAATATATCATCTGACCCTCAGAAATATACCGAAATATACCTTTTCATTTTCCAAATATACCCAAAATATACTGACGGACGCGTTCATATTCCTCGATTTTGATATTCCGTTACCATATCCGGTGATATTACCAGCTAGTTAGCCCTCTCAGCCCTAAAAAAATAATTTTATCCAATACATCAATAAATTTTGTACAAAGTTGGCTAGTTTTCAGAACTGACCGTCAGAAACATACCAAAATATACCTTATCATTTTCAAAATATACAATATACCGATGAAGACGCACACAAAAGTATGTTAGTATATTTTGCTGCGAAAATATGGTCACCCTATTATGCATGCCAGGGCTGCAGAGGAGACATTGTGGGCGCCTATTCCATTTTTGAATTTAAAAAACAGGAATTGTACATTGGTACAGTTCGCTTTGACATAAACTTCTTTTGTTTTCGGTAAGTTGCATTTACTTTTTATTTGGCTTGAAAACACCCAATAGCTTTCGCATCAACCCCGGACCATTCCAGTGGCCCGTGAGCATGAGCTTCCAGTAGAGCAGCGGCATAAAGTCCTTCTTCAGGATGAACATCGAGTAGCGCTCCTTGTTCTGGGCCACTGGAAACGTCTCTAAGGGCTGCAGATTGTAATCGAACTCCGCCAGAATGCAGGTGTGGTAGCCTGTCACCAGCGGGCACGAGGCATAGCCATCGTACACGTCCGTCAGGGGTTTGCCCTCCATCGCTGCAATCATATTCCGAAAGACAACGGGCGACTGAGCAGCTGTAAATGGAAACCGATTTCAATATTCTAATTTTTTTTTGCGAGGGCGACGATCGACGGCCTGCTAAAAGCGTTGATTAATCCATTGATTTGAATCTAATCATACCTGCAGCTGCAGCAGTCTTCGAGTTCGGTGAGCCAGACGAGTCCCCGATGGCGAATACGTTGCTGTACCTCACATGCTGCAGCGTAGAGTTATTCACGTCCACGAATCCCGTCTCGTTTACCAGCTTCCGGCATTTGGTCAGCTCGTCGGGAGCGCTCATTGGTGGCACGGCATGCAGCAGGGAGTACTGTCCGGATAAAATATGTCATTGACTGCCCCTCGCTATGGCCTTTCAGATAACCATACCTTCTCCTCGAAGAGCTGACCAGGATTGTCGAGATCCTCGAACACAGCAATGTCCTCGGCATGCCGAACCTCTACCAGATTTCGTCGAGTGTTGACCGTAATGTTCCGCTTCTTGCAAATGGGCCACAGGGCATCCGCATAGTGTTTCACGCCAAAGAGCACTGGCAGAGCTGTGTTATATGTGATGTTCACTTTATCGCGCTTACCCAACTAAAGAAAAAGGAGGCTAATTTTAAATATACATATATCAAAGCAAGTGGAAAGTGGATGCATCCCCTACCTTGCGGAAATAGTGCTCGACTATGTAGACAATCTTCTGTGGGGCACCAGGACACTTGACTGGGGATGCGGGGAAGGTAAAGATCAAGTTTCCTTCATTTGTTCTGCGCAGCAAATCGTAGACGCCTTCCACGTACTTGGGGGAGTAGATGGAGCACACCTTGCCATTGGGTATCTCCAAAGCCTCTGCTAAGCCGGGAATCTATGAATTTGATACAAGAAATCATAGCTACTCGTATAAGAATATATTTTGGATTGTGAGTTTTACCTTCTCGTAATTCAATTGCAGGCCAGTGGCAATGAGGAGGAAATCGTATTTGATTGTGTCGCCTCCAGAGGTGCAGACCGTATTGTTATCCGGATCAAATTCCATCGCCTTCTCCTTCACCCATTTTGCCTTCTTCGGAAGCACCTCCGCCATGGTCTTGTAGGACTGTTCCAGACGCTTCATTCCGCCTCCAATCAGGGTGAACATCGGTTGATAATAATGTTTCTACGTGGGCGAGAGTAAAATAATTAGTTGTGGAGTAACTTTTTGGTGGCGCACCATTCGGACGTACATCTTCCGGCTCCAGGACGATCACCTTATCCTTGCCTAGATGTGATGACAGCTTGGCGGCCATGGCACAGCCGCCACTGCCGCCACCCACAACCAAAACTTTGCATCTGAAAATAATGAATACAAAAAATGTTAAGTTAATATAAAATTTCGGATTGCGTGACTCTAGTCCCCAAGGTTCCCCTTCATTCTTGTACTGAGCGAACTCCTTAGGGTCCCATTGTACTGCACCCATCCACCGAATTGGGACACTAAGTACACTAAGCACAGGCCCAAGGTTTTAATATTTTATCGATTTAATGGCTAGGCACATTATCTATTCGTTATCACCATTAATTAGATATGCTAATAGGTTCAGGATAAATTTTCTGGCAGGTTTCGTACCAGCTTACGTGATAACTTCACTTCATACGCTTTAATCATACTAATTGTATTTGCTTGATAGATATACAGTCAAGGCAAGGCATACCAAACGGTGGCCAGAGTTTGTGGCTTCCGAGAAATCACAAATAAAACTAAGTCTTGCGATTACAGGTGAGCCATAAGTCGGGAGAGTGGGAGCTTTACTTACTCTTGTCTCTCGTAATGCACCCGCGATGTGGAGAAGAGCCGGGCCACAGAGGGGGCTTCATTGGCACAGTAGATGGGGGTGGCCAGCAGCCTGTTGCACTGCCGGATGCCCAGTGGAATTCGGGAGTTCATCGTAGTGCCAGAGAGATTGGGTGGTGTCAATCAGGCGATCGAAAAATTCGGGAAAAAAAATACAAACGACGAACTGGACGGCGAGAGGCGATGCGAGAGAATGAGAGGCACGTACCACCTGACAGTTCCGTTTCGCGAGAGATAAAGCTTTTGGTTATCAAATGTTTTTTACACCCAGCGAAATTGGGACTGCACCTTGGACACGTTGCGAATTTTGAGCAAACATTTTCGAAATTATAATGGTTGCTCCCGCGGGGCACTATTGTAAAATTTCGATTAGGTATCGAGATGTGTGTTCGCTTTACTTGTCAACAAAAAATATAAATAAATATATTTACTTATAAATACAAATATTGTCCAAGTGTAAGTAGCAAGTTACTAACATATTCGTTCAAGTGTAGATTATGCTAACATTTCGCGTTGGCTGTAAAACTTGTTTAACCTTGAAAGCTACTGAAAGCTGTTTTTGCTTTACAAGCTTTAGTTTGCGTACAGTACAGCCCACAAATAACGATTCGATTGTGTCATCGTCTAAAAAGACGCATGTCTTCATGAAAATTAAATAGCCATTCTATTATGGCAAATTACAGCACGAGTATTCTGCTGTATACCTATGGGGGCATGGAATGAGATTTTCGGAATAGCAAGGGCTAAAGAGACTGGTAAAGAGATAGTAGGGGAACATCCCTATACTTTTCCTTAAGGGACTAATTATTTTAAATACGAATGTAATTTCTTCGGAAATGAGTTAGCTATTCTAATTTCTCCGTAATTGAGATATTGAAAATATCTATTCTGTGGCTTTCGAGTGTTTTTGCTATAAGTTTTAATGCAAATCGGAGAAATAACTTTTGAGTAATTCCCAATCTTTAATCTGGCAAGAGCGAGCTGCCCCTTAAAGCTGGCAACAATCTTTACCCCTTGTCTACCATTAAATGATGTAAAATATGAATTATAATAATAATACTGAATGATAGCCACATGAGAATTCCCTTTTTGGGGATATTCCATAACTGTCACTAATTGTGTAGTAATTCCATTTCGTGTGCAATGTTTTCAGGGATTTTCCATAGAATAGACCCGCAGATCCACAGACCTACACAACACACATACAAGTACATACGTTCATGCATATGCATCAGGTTGTCTGTATGTACACACATGTATATTATATCACATGATTAAATGAATAAGGATGCCAATAAATGCGCCATGGGACGAATACGACAACTGTGACAGCCCAATGTTTAATTACGCCATGCTGCTGACTGATTGCAGATAGATGATGGCCGCAGGAGGGGCTGAGCAGGCCAGGAACCAGGACAGGACCAGCATCTATAGAGGGCTCGTCGTGGTCGTGGGTGGGGGGTGGTCTGGACTCGTGCCACGATGATGATGATGATGATGGCGTTCGTCATCAATTGGAGACAAGCTGGCAATTTAAATGAAGCCCTATTGACGGATGGCCAAATTGGTTGCGCGACTGCGTGGGCGACTCCGTTGGCCAATGATACAGTATACAGTATTCACAATAGAATATATGTACACATATGGGATATGTCTTAGTGGATGTATGGTGGAATTGTGGGTCGAGCGGTGGTGGTGGGTGGGTTGAGCGGTTGGTGGGTTCGCGGCGGGCGATGGACATTTTAAATAGGAAATTACTGAATGGCTGTTGCCAGGGGCAGCGCTGTGACCCAACTGGGGCCCTGATGGGTGGCTGCTGGTAGCAAGGTCTCCTCCACCACAGACGCTAATCAACGAGCGGCTCCCATCATTACGAGTATCATCATGATGATGGAGCTGATAAAGGTACTGGTCAGCAGGCGATTGTCTTGTCCGACTGCTGCCTTTTGCCTTTCAATTCGAAGCTGTTCGAAAACTGTCTACTTCATTTGAATATAACGGTGTCGAGTGACTCGCACCACTCGATGCAAACACGCCCCGTCTCCATCCTAGACTCCGAAGTGCATTTCAATTGACGCCACACAAAAATCAATTGAGTTGTGTTTGTCCAGGCTATCGTTGTCGTCGTCGTCCAGCTGCTTCTGGGGAATCAGAGGCTTCTGATTCTGTTTCTGGTGCAGCAGCAGCAGCAGAAGTGTCTGACTGTCGGAATCTTTGTGCAATTGGTCCCCGGGCTTTGGAATGCAAATAGTGGCAGAGGTGCTGGGGAGCAATTGGGTTTGATGGAGCCCACACTGGTAACGGCATGGCATGGCATGGTGGCAACAGGTCTGCCACAACCAGTGGAGCGATGACGTCTGGATGCCACCATTGTCCATTTATTGTATGAATTCTGTGGGCAGGCTGATGAAACTAATTCACATTAAGTCAAATCACACCTGAAACCCGAACAAATCCGGAATTATCAACATCTGGGCAGCGATAAGAGAGGTTAGCTGGCGGGCATCAGGGCAAATCTCTCGTAATCCAATTGGAATTGGATGGGAACAAGCCCTCGGACAATGATTTAATTGCTCCTCTCGGATAGATAGACGGGCAGGAACTGCCTCAACCAACTGCCTTTGACCAACCACCGCTCCATCGCTCCATCGCTCCACCACTCATATGGTAATCGATTGAATCTATCGCCAAGATGCCCGTGTGTCTATCTGCATCGTACTGTATTTTCTGAAAACTGTACTGAAGAATATGTATCTGGAGCACGCATTTAAATTCCAAATTTTGATTTCGATTCCCATTCCGGTCCAAGCCGATCCGATCCAATCCTATGGATACGCTGCATATCTTTTTCGAAAATTAATGAGAAAAATGTGATATAAAATAATAAATTTGCATGAATTATTCGCGTATTCTCGCATTTGAATCAATCAATCAAAGGAGAGCAACAAGTAAAGCTCCACAGCTCCAGCCCCAACACCCTCGCAGGGCTCCCACACACAGACACAGCACAAGGCAAGACGATGCCAAAACGAAGACAAGACGAACACGAAGCAGAGCAACGAACACCAATACCAGTAAATTCACGAGGGGATGGATGGCATCCCAATCCCCTCCGCTGACGGACGCCAATACTGTTATTAAGCCCCCAGTGTGGAGTCCAATTTGTCGAGGCTCGGCCGTCCACGTTCGTCCGTCTGTCGGACCGTCGCGTCAGTCCGTTCCTCCGAGCAGCAGCAGCCCACTTGTTGATTTCGGGCATGCCCGATATCCGATATAAAAGCATGGACGCTCAACCTTTCGCCACACAGTCCATCATTCGCCACATCCCGAGCAGAACATAGCTCTCACAGCCGAGAACTCAGAAGCGAACCAAAATCGAAACCCAGCCGCAGCCGTAGCGTCAGAGAAGAGCAGGCCCAAAGAGAAGAGAGCCCCAATAGAATATAACTGTAACTGCTTGTGGTGGTGCAAACGGCAAACAGGAAATCGAAATCTACGATAAATTCGAATCTCAATCAGAGAAGAATCTCCATTGAAAGTTCTAGAACTCTAGTGTAAAAAAACTGAAAGTGAAAACCGAAAAATAGTGAAAGTCTTCAAAGTGAAAGCTAGTGGAAAAGTGAACCGGAAAATGCAGGTAGGAATTCAATTGAATATACATTTACTAATAGGTCTAAGTAAATCGATAAAAGTGAAGTCCATCTATAGAATTGTCCGTCAATCAGCTAGTTGATATATAAATCTGTCCCTTGAAGATGCTTTCCGAATAGTCCAAATCATTTCGTTGAAGGATCAATTCAATTTATATTTTTAAGTTTGGTTTTTAAAACGTTTTTATAACGTTTACTCCACAAATCATCTCCCGTCTCCCTCATAGCTTATCAGTTGGCACGAATCTTACATACTTGATGATTTAATTTGTTTAAATTTTTCGATCTCGTGACTTCAATTCCACAACTCTGCTGCTAAAAAATTAAACAAAATTGTTAAATTGCGTTGCATCATGTGACGTGGGGGGAGACAGGAAAGAAGACCTGGACACACGTCTAGACGGAAGTTAATTGAGCTGCTCTTCATTGCTATTGCAATTGTAATTGGTAGTTTTGTGGTTCTACAGTTTCAGTTGTGCAAGTATTCCCTTGTCACCCTTGTCACAATCTAAATAATCACACAATACTCGAATTCGAGCAGAGCTCAGCGAATTTATTATCGCACTGGGCAACAGATTATTCTCTAGGCAACAGAGAGATTATTTTTAATTGGCTAATGCCAGAAATTGGTCAGGGCAGAGATTGGAGACGCCAATAGGTCTGCTCTTCAGCTGTGGAATGTGTTGGAGATCAGAAGCAGCATCAGAATCGGAGAATCTGAGATTCAGATCGTATGTTGTTTATCTCTGAATAACGGAATTATATGGAACGGACAATAACATCAAGTGTACGAGCATTTGCTATGGGGTCTCAGGAATAATGCTTTCATCCGCTGAAAACCCAAGAGTAAACAAAGTCCTCGAATGTTGGGGGCGCGATCGTGGGAAGCGTACAGAATGATCAAAACAAGTCTTAATCAAAATATTATTAATTCCTTGGTTTCATTTCCAAAAAACCCGACGCAAAGCCAGAATCTGGGGCTGAGAACTTTCCGAACCGCAGCAGTTCGATCTAGTTTCGGTTAGCAAGTCCGGATCTTGGTCTTCGAGTGCAACCATTTGCTGAGTCAGTGGAATATGTAGTTGGTGTCAAGTCAGCTTCGACTAGGGGGCTACGTGAGCTTAAACGCAGCTCCACTCCCGGACCAGGCCGAGAATTGGTTACATGTCGAGCCGCGCCTGAGCGCCGAGACGTTGGTCACGCACTCCCCTGGTCCGATCTGCTCTCCTCCACCCGCTCTCCTATTCTGAATCGGAGTCATCGATGCAAACCGAATCGAAATCAATTCAAAAGCAATTAATAATCAGATCACTTTTGTAATAAATTGCAATTTGTTTAATGGATGAAAAAAACCTAAGCAAAAACCAGAAAATAAGTCCTGCCTTAGAGGCCGAAGTCTTTGATACCCTATGTTCCTAAGGCAGCCATATGATATGGTCATTCGATATTGATACAATATTGCAATGCATATCTGGTTAGCACAAATATACCCTCTGCAAGGGTATTTAAATCGAAGGCGACTTTTTTCGCACTGCCAGATCGCCGGTTGGCCGGGTGAGGGTCGGTCGGATGGACAGGGGCGCGGGTTCAAATGCGTCACTGCCTACTCAGAGAGGGGCCCGGCGTGGGGGGACGGGACGACAGCAATCACAGCTTTTTTTTTGCATTCGCCGCATTTGCATGCGATCGCATCGCTCAGAGAGTGGGAGTGAGAGAGGGCGAGAGAGAGAGAGCGCGCTAAAAGAAAGAGCATAACGCTCTTCTGGTGCTGCTGAACGTGTACATGTATTTAAACATGCGCGCGTGTATGTGAGAAAAGCGTCGCTGCCGACGCGGCTGGCAGCACGATGCTGAGTGACGAGCCCCCAATCCAATCACTTGATGCTGTGTTTATCCATTCCGCGTGACGTCGATTGCTCCCCTACTCACACACAGACACAAGCTTAATTATGTGCTACATACTTCTTTTATATGTATGTACATATGTATAGACAATTAGTAAGATTCTTTAATTGGCGGCCCTGTCCTCGTTGTTCTCTTGCCCCTCCATTCCACTCTATATCTCTCTCTCCGTCTATCTGCGTATGTGTGTGGGCAACGAGCCCCCTTTTCTACATGTTATTGCTTTCATAATTGTTTTTCAAGCTCCATTGAACTTGGGGCGTGGACGATGACGATGATGATGATGGGACGATAATAACGTTGAAGTCGAAAACATCTCCGCACACGTCATCAGACGTCATATTAATGCCCCGACGAAATGAGCCTATTAAAAGGCAGTTGGGATATGAAATCAGAGTGTAATATACTTTCCCATATTCTTTCTTTTAATGTAGGGCATGGTCATTCATTAGGTTTGGTGATATTCAATCTAAGGATATGTATTATAAAGAACATTTTTATGAATTTTTAAGGTTAGATACTCAAAGACCGATTAGGATAGGTCAAAAACCAAGGGTATTGACAGCTTCGGTGTGCCCAGAGCTTACCCATTTTTCTGTTATTGTTTTCTTTTGCCAAATCATTATAATGAAGTGATTTCAATCCAATGAGAACATCAAGGAGATAAGAAACTGGCAAAGGGGAGGGAAAAGAACGCGTGGCGGGATCCGAATAGTTCACAAAGAGCACGTTTCGAATTTTTTACTAGTATAATTACGAACAGTACTTCTATTATCTGAAATTACCTTTGGCGTTGAAGCGAATGAGGTTCACTATAAAAATACCTATTATTTGTCACCGTTACAATTCACAAGCCTCTTGTAGATCTGTTTGGCACCCGAGGAATGCACTCGGATGTGACCCAACCTCATTCGGTTTTGGAATATTTGAATTTAACGATTTCCATATGACTCATCATCGGCAACATAAACATGGAGTGAGACTCTCACACTCACACATGGCCATGTAGGTACGAAGAGGCTCAGGGTTATGCTCTCCGGCTCGAGTTCACACTTTTTAGTGCAGCGAAGAGAGCGGATTAAATGGCTGATGCAATCGTGAAGCAAATTGGGCGAGAGTCGGATCGAAGTCGGAGTCGGAGGCAAAGACAGAGTCAAAGTCGTCGCCATCGCTCCGCTCCGGTGGTGGTCGATTATTGGGTGCTCGGCAGGTCGCTTGCTCTTGCTCGACTTGTTGCACAACAAACAGAAGGTAACCGGAGACCCACAACCCCGCCGCACACGTTCAAATTAAGCCGACTGAAGAATGTCAGAGAATCAGATTACGATTACACACACACACACACACCAGAGGCAGAGAAAGAGAGAGAGAGAAATGCAGTGAGTAGGGGAGGCGAATGCACTTTACATACAGACCTTACATGTACAGACATACATACATACATGTTGATAGATCACCATCGAACGGCAGGTTAATTGGTAAATTACTGTACACATTATGCATCCCACTCGCACTCTAATAGAGGAAGTACCATACCATACCCATTCCCACCTCCCATTTCAATTTCAATTCCACTTCCAATTCCGATTCCGATACGCCTCCTTGCTGTAATGGCAATGTTAGTGTTAATGTACATGTTAAATGTTAATGCCACCAGCTGTCCGTCATCATCTGTCAAACCGAGAGCTAAACAATTAGTGATAATTGCATTTCATTGGGACTACTCTACTCGTAAAATTTTCCACTTTTAAGAGAGTGGAAACGTGATATGCGGTATGGAAAAATTTTCCATTCCATTTGTCTGTTATGCTCCGCACATTACATCTCATCTACTCGTACGCACACAGAAACATACAGATGCGTGATCTCGTTGGGATGTAGAACAGCGTCGCGACTGATGGACCGGCTAGAGAGGGGAGAGATCGGAAGGAAATTGCTTTGAGCCCAATCCCAAGACTTTAGTTCAAGTTCAGGTCGAAGAGATGCACCTAAGAAGGACCACAAACTATTATAATGGAATTTCCGGCGGAATTTCCAGTATACAAAATTGTAGGAGCGGTCTGGCCTTATTAAAAGCTTGAATTTAAATCGAAGTGTTGGATTGCCTAGGCCGGAGAAGCTACAGAAGCTATTAAATGGGAATTTCCGCCAGTTTTCAAAGGAATCCCCTGGCATATTCCGATCTGAAACAGCACTACATGTAATGCACAGTCATGTGTCGGTCTGTAGGGTTTTCCAATTCCCTGAACTGACCTTTCATCGGCTCAAGGCGACACGAGCTCTCTGCCATCCATTCCCCCCACTCTTTTTTTCCGCTGCTGCGCCTGCGCGTGTGTGGCACCGACACCGGCCGAGACGAAGCTAATGGTAGGAGACCGACCTCCTCTCCTCGCTGTTGCTAGGCGGCTGCACACAGACACACGCACACACACACAGTCGCACTCATAGCCGAAGACTCGTATCAGTGACAGCAGGCAAAAAGCAAAAAAAAACACCATGAAAACGGCACAGAATTTGTGGCATGAACATGAATTTTCTCACGTCGTCACCAGCGGCGTTCCAGTGGCTGCTCCGCTGATCGGCTGCTCGTTCCAACCCACACACCAGTACAACCTGCAGTCCAACAAATGGTTCCGACTGCCGCGGCAGTCCCCGTCCCCTGTGCTCACGTGCATCTGTGTACGAGTGTGCGAGTGTATCTGTGTGTGGCTGTATCTCGGGGCTGAGTGTGACGACTGGTCTTCGTCTCCGTAGCATGTTGCACTATCTTTTCCCCGAACTCTCCATCTGTCTCTCTGTCCGTCCGTCCGTCCATCCGTCTGTCTGTCTTTTAGTCTCACTTTGAATGAGCCGTCTCCTCCCCTTCCTCCTTCTCCTCGTGTTGGTGTCGTGTGGTTCCGGTGATGCTGTGGCACTGTTGGCTCTGGAGGTGTTGCTATCGCCTGTCACGACGTTAATTAGCAGAAAAGTGCAAACGATGCGGCGCTGCTGCTCCACGAGTGGTGGTGCAGCCTCTGGGGCAGAGATCTACGATTTACCCATTACATTACCCATTATCCATTAGCGGAAGCGAGCCAATTTGGCTTACCCATGCACCAAATGTACAAATTCACGGAGTATCTTGTGGAACGTCCACTGTCATGATGCAATAATTTGTGCCCATCAACATCATACGATATCTTCGGCGAGTGTCAGGCGTCGACCTCTCTTCTCTATGGGAGAAAACCAGCTCGCATAATGGTTTGATAGTTTCTAGGAAATGGAACCTATAAATCTACGTTTCGAATGAAAGAGGAGCGGCGGTGGCAAGGCGGCAACGGCAACGGCAACCTAATTGACAAGACAAGCGATGACAATAATGGCCGATTCACCTGAGTGGTCGGTCGGTGACGTCGGATGCCCATGAATATGTATGCCACGAACCGATTCACAATCCGAGAGATGATCTCATTTTGAAAAGGGGATGGAAATGTACAGTTCGGGTCTGGGTTCGAGTTCAAAGATTGCATCCGTGTGTTGCCTTTATAGGAAATACAGCCTGAAGCTAGGAAATGCAACCAACCCCTATCCTGAAACAGCAGAAAGCAGTGCAATCTTTGCTGTGTTATGTCGTGCTACCCGCAACCCACCCATTTCCCCCGTGGGGGCACCCATCAGCAATACATCCCCATAGAGGCATTCATCGCCATCGAAAGGCCATTTCAATTCAGTGCCCCTTACGTCAGCGTTACGATATGGCTGGCAACGCTTTGAGGTGTGCCGGCAGATAGTCAGAGCCAGAGCCAGAGGAAGAGCCCGGAGCAGAGGCGAAGGCAGTGGCAGTGGCAGAGGCACGAGACACAATTTCAAGCACCTGCAAGATTTTTCTCTCAATTGAATTTCGCTTTGTGCCGAACCGCCACCGCGGCCAACTGGCCGGAAAGAGGGGTGCTGGTGGGACGCGGCGGAGGTGACTTTGTGGTGGGACGATTTGTGTAACGTGCAATAAATAAATTACCCATAGAATTGAATCTAGTTGCAGTCGTTGTCGATTGCCGATGTGGCCCCTCGATAAAGAGAAGAAAGAAAACTAGTCGCAACTGTCGAGAACCCGTCCCGCCGCTCCACTTGCCTCCATTCCACTCCACTCCACTCCCCACCGAGCAGCCCACAGCAACCGCAATGGGGCTGCGGCTGCCGCCCGGCAACAGTCGCCGGTTCAGACCGGCTCCACACCGGGCACAGCGGAAAGCGAACACGCGATGTGGCTGCCAGTCTGTCTGCCATTTTGGCTGCACCTCCCAGTGGTGCCGGCTGCGGCGGCAGCGGCAGCGGCGGCACCTCCATTACAATCTCAGTCAGCGACTAGTTTTATGCCTCTGCCTCTGCCTGTGCCTCTCCTCCTCCTTCTGTCGAACAACACACACAAAGATACAGATACAGATATATGTACGACTGCCGGGCAGTCAGCATTGCTACACTGTGTGGTATCTGCGCCCCCCACCCCTTTCCTACGCGATCTCTACCGTTCAGACCCCATCCCATTCGACCAAGCGACGATCGCCGCAGACAAACTGGCACTCACACTTGATTGCAATGAAACGAATGGGTAGAGGGACAGAGAACAAGAGGGAAACGGACAGACTCGGTCTCGGCTAATGGAACCTTGCACGATGATCGGTCGAATCTTGCCCCCAACCTCAGTACCAGCCCCAGCCCCAGCCTTAGACACGATGCGATGGAGGAGAAGTGGCCTGCACTGCCATCGCCAACTGTCTGTTAATTGGCTGAAAGCCAAGTTCCGAGATATGGGAATGGGTACGAAAGGGTTTGGGGGAATCCTGCCATCGAAAGCGGCGAGAGAGCAAGGAATACAACAATTAAATCGAGACGAATTTATGAAATCAAATCCCATCGCACATATAAGATCATATTTATGGCCCCCAAGGCGGAGGATAACTAGCAGCGAAAGCCACAATGTGTCCGATTTGTTCCGGACTGTTCCGCTCCCGCTCCAACCCTCCACCCCTCCACTGGATCACCGCTCCCCCGGCGGCCCCACAAAGAATTATATGAATTAAAATTCTGGTCGATCACACGAGACAGACACAAAGAGAGCGAGAGAGAGAGACAGAGAGAGGCTCGGAGAGCGCAGCGGCAACGGCGGTGTCTCTGCCTCTGCCTCTGTGTGTGTGTGTGTGTGTGTGTGTGTATGTGTGGATGTCGGATGTATAAATAAAAGAGCCCGAGACTGTCACGATCAGTTCATTTCAGTATTTCGCTGTTGAACAACAACAATCTTAGTGCCAGTGCCAGCGCCTCGCTTCCAGCCAATATTCAAACCAATCCCGAACTGATACGATCCGATCCGACCCGATCCTCGCTCTTTTCGTGAATAGCTAGCCACCGACGCGTACCGAGCTCAAGCCGAAGTCGCAGCGAAGCCTCCATTGACACACCTTGACTTGTGAATTGTAATGTCGATGAACCGTGCGTATTCAAACGAGTGCCGCGACAACCAAACCACCTCAACAGCGCTGTCAGCATTGCCACTGCAATTGAAGAAGTCCATAGCTATATCTATAGATATATAGAGAGATCCACTGATTCCGATCGAATGTGCCAAAGCCGTCAGCTCGACATTCGCTACGCCGAATATCACTGAAAGCCCTCCACCAGGACGCTGCCTCCTCTCCAATCCCTCCCCCAAACGTGTGCGTGTGTGTCCTTCGTCTCAAGCCAGACCATAAGCCGATCTGCAGCCACCGCATTCGAATCTGCAGCGTGCGCGATAAGCTTCAGCCAAGATTCCGCCAACACTGAGCTGCACGACCACCAAGACGGCATCCATCGCCGGACCTATGTCAGTGCTAAGCCAATTGCTGTTGAACTTCAATCAGAAAACCCAAACGCGGAGCCACCACAATATAGAGCTGATAAATTCGTTCATAACATAACGACGAGCGGATCTCTTCTGACTGCCGAAAGAGACCCAACGCAATCGCGACCGCCTGTTCTTATATATTAAACGTTAGGGAGAAATTTGCAAACATTTTTTACCGGAAGAGAAAAAAGAAATCAAATCAAAAGGTGAGTTATATGTAGACTTCTCCTACTGTACGATATACATACAAACGAGTATGTATCTAGCCTCGATAAAATGCTGCTACGTCAATCGGGTGGGTTGGTTGGTTGGTTGGATGAGTAATCGTCAACCCAACAATAGACGGTGATCAGACCTACAAATCCACAGTCCTATCTATTAAATTTCCCCACGGATTGCGTGGTTTCCAATTTCCAATTCGAATTTAAAGAGAATCAAATCGCCCCAAGCCCCGAGGCCCGAGTGTTGAAAAAGTTCCCCATCGAAGGGCAAACTGAGTCGAAAAAAAAATGTCTGATGCAACATTCGCCAACGATTCGCGAGACTTGCGACGATCGATGATCGGGGTAATATACATATACATACTCGTACACACAAAAATACCCTCGCATACCCGATTGAATAATTCATCGGTCACGCAGTTGTCCAGTCTAGACGCCACTGGCCCTTGATCCCAGGCGTGGGTGGGTAGTGTGTTTAGTGAGTGGACTGTTCAGTGTTGTCTGTTGTCTCGGGATCCACTGACGTCACAGTAGTGTCATACCAAATTTCGATATCAATTTATCACCCTCACGCGGCCCACGCGAACCGCAGAGACACACCAAAGAGATTCTCATTCAATTTTTGTGTGTCAGCAGAGCCGCGTGGCATTGTGAAATTCGGATTTCTGTTTTTGGGGGGTGAGTTCTGAAAGGATTTCTAGGTAGCAGATCTGGAAATTTCGCAATGTTCTAGAGCTTTGCCACTTGAAAAGAAAAGGCCTTGCTCTCTTATCGGGGACGCTGAGACCTCCCCTGATTTACGAGTAAATATTTATAATTGCTAGCGATAACCGAGAGATGGAAAAGAGCATGACTGGCCGATCCCCGAGTGACTATCAAGTCGTTTTGAGTTTGTTAACCTATATTATAGTCGGAGTCGGTCGGATGATGAGATGAGATGAGATTGAGTTGGGTCTTTGCAGTGTGGAATTTGATACTGGTTTTGAACTTTGCACTCATTTCCGATTGGTTGGCTCTCTTACAGAAAATGAATTTAAGTTTGTGCGCCTTAGCGCTCCTGCTGTTCAGCAGCCTCTCGAGCGTCCACAGCCGTGCCGTGGACATTGAAGACGATAGCAACGATGTCGACAACTCCATCGAGGCGGAGCCGGAGGAGAAGCCCCGAGGACGACCCTTCGAGGCCGACTGGCTCAAGTTCACCAAATCGCCGCCAACCAAGCTTCAGCAGGCAGCCGGTGCCACCCTGGAGATTGTCTGCGAGATGATGGGCTCCCAGGTGCCCAGCATCCAGTGGGTGGTCGGCCACATGCCGCTCTCTGAGGTAAGTCCAACACACTCTCTCTCTCGCCCCCCCACCGCAGCTCCATGCTGATCGCGCCCCTCTATCTCTTCTCTCCACTATCTTTAGATTGAGAACCTCGAGTCGAATGTGGTGTCCGAGGATGCGGGCAGTGCCATTGTCCGCGTGCGATCGGTGCACATCATTGACCACATGTTGAGCGAGTCTCGCACCTACACCTGTGTGGGACGCACTGGCTCCAAAACAATCTCCGCCAGCACTGTGGTGCACCCAGTGCGCTCCGATCTGGTCGATATGCGCATGGTGCGCGAGAAGCAGTACCCGGGCCCCCAGAAGCCGCGCATCATCTACACCGAGAAGACCCATCTGGATCTGATTGGCTCCAGTGTGATGCTGCCATGCAAAGTGCACGCCCGTCCCCGGGCCGAGGTCACCTGGTTGAACAACGAGAACAAGGAGGTGGTGCAGAGCCATAGCCATCGCTACAAGGTGCTGCCCACGGGCGATCTGCTCATCTCGGAGATCAAGTGGGAGGACATGGGCAACTACAAGTGCATTGCCCGCAACTCTGCTGGCCGTGACTCAGCCGACACCTTCGTTTATCCTGTACTTGTAAGTATCCTCCTCGATGCTAATCTCCCTATATCTTAAAGGACTGGCGTTAGTGAAAGCAATTTACTGACAATCCCTCTCTGTTTCTGCTTGATCTATTTGCAGAAGGAGCAAGACTAAAGATCCCACCAAAACTACACAAATCAAAGGGCTATTGGATTGACAGCGACAGAGAATTCATCTAGTTAGTTAGATAGATCAAATGCCTTCGAAGATGCGAGAAAACAAAAAACGGAATATGCTAAGAAAAAACAAAAAAAAAAAAAAAAAATACAATACAAGAGAAAAGAATTATAATTATTTCGAAATGAAAAAAAGTAAGGTCATACGTTGTACAATGTAGGTTAAGAGCCAGTTTAGATTGTAATCCATATCTAATGCCGGCTTAGACTCTAAAACTTCCTATCGACTTAAACGCATCGAATAGCTATAGTATCGAATTGTCTTATCTCCGCCATATGTACGCGTATATGGTTTTCTTCAATTTTAGTTTTAGTCATCAGGCTTGTAATCAAATCACACGTCTTGTTCTGTAAGCGCAGCAATGATGGTTCCTAACGATTCAGGCGAGCTCTAGTTAACGTTAAGCTCCAACGTAAGAGTAATTGGCAGTTTACTTAATGAGGGTGCCCGACACGACACCCCCAAGCACCAAACCACACCACACCACAACACACCACACACCCAATTCGTATTTATGTGCACCGCAATCATTTTTTACAACTAATTTATTGATCGCCAAAATTCATCCATCGCAATCCATACAGAAATCACCCCACAGAATAGTATTTCACGGAACGAATCAGCAGTTTCATAGGCTACCACACCCACACCCACAACCCCAGCCCCAACTACACCTACATATACGATAATTACATGTTTTATTATTATTTTGTAAGCTAAGTGAACTGAAAATATGGTTTTTTCTCTTAATTTGTTTAGTTTGTTTTTTGAATAAATACAATGAAAAGAAAATGAAATGAAAGCGATCAGAGTGCGTATTAAATATTGGGAATTGGGTAATTAAATTCGAACTCTCTTCTGGGTTCACAAATCACTTTATTGACAGATCTACAGATTACAGACAGTCACATTATCTACATAAACTCGTACAGTTACATACGTAAACATTTAAATGGTAGTACTACTATTACAACAAATAACGATCTGAACAGATCTTACGTACACAGATGATACGCGGCTGACTAAATTGCTGGAGCAAAATATTGATAGATTGTTCCGTGGATTGGGTTGGCCTTCAGCTTGCTGGCCAACCAGCGATTATTTCAGTTTGGGATGTGATTCAATTTGGGGTCATAAGAGGGGCCTAATCTCAAGTCCCGATTGTGCGCTTAAGCGATTGGGCATCACTATACTACGAATAAGTATATACGAGTAAAATTCATTAAATCAAAATCAATCTGCTATGATATTGTCACATGTCTTTGGAAATTCACATTCAAGCGTCCTGCAAAAGGGTTTATTCCCACCCCAAAATGGTACTCTATTCGTAATTTCACCATGGCAAAATGCCAGCAGCAGCAGCAGCCTCTAAGATCAAAGGCATCAGAGAATATTGTTGAGGAATCAGATCTATTATCTGTTTGTTCTTGTTCTGTTCTGTTCTGTTTTTGGCAAACTTTTTTTGCGCTAATGTCTCCAAGTTGCGATGGATGTTGTCAGTGGTGTGTGCGTGTGTGTCTGTGTGGACGGACTCTAATTGTACAACGATAATACTTTCAATTGGAAATGTTTCGGTTTAATGATTGGCTAGCATGTGATTATTCCCACCGCCAGACAAAAAGATCTTATCTTGGGCTCTATTTTTGGTACGGTCTGCAGGCGACCTGGGGGGAAATGAGAATGGGAATGGGAACGACAGCATCAACGAAAGTGTTTCTCTTGAGCAGTCGAGCAGCTGGATGCCGTGGCAGTCTCTAAGCGCCTTGTCTGTTGCCGGGCAGACTTTTTTCTCGGTTTTTTTTTTAATTTTTTTTTTTTGGGCCAATTTGAAAGTCGCTCGTGACTCAGTGAGTAGTTTGCCAAGTGCGTTGCCGTCTTTGCCGACAACCAGTTTCGCTCGCCAGCTCCCTTCAGATGCGTCTCCATCTCCGCCTTTGTCCACATTCAGATCTCGCCGTGTCTGTCCCGGCCCCGTGACATTTATAGCTGAAGCAGCACAGCAGCAGGAGGGGCTAGCCGAATGATTGATGATTTATTCAGATTTTCGTCAACGCTAATAAAAGAGTGTGTGCCATCGATCACGAGGCCCTATTGGCTCCCAGGACGTTGCCGGCCCTAGGCACGTCTCTGAATCGAATCGATTCGACGCGACGGACAGGTGTTATGCCAACATACAGAAAAACAAGTGGAGAAGAATATTGCTAAAAGAAACGCGTGTGTCAATGGGGAATTCCGGGAATGCAATCGATCGATTACTTGTGCTTAAATTTAGTCACCTCGTGTGGAATTTCTTTGGACACATTTGTCAGTTATCAGCTATCAGTGTGTGTTTTGGCACGTCACGTAGGAAACAGCAAACAAATTCAGACAATTACTCAAATCACAATATACGATACACCTATTAAGCCTACGATTAGTTCAAATCAAAGTGGAGCCGGGAAAAGCAGCAAAGTCACAAAAAGAAGACGGCGACAAATTAATCTAGGTTAAGAGAAAAATTCTGGAAATGCCCAAATAGCTTGGGGTGTGCTTCTCCTCCTTCGTACGTTAGACGTTGAGCACGGAATGCTTCTTGTTGCCGCCGGATGGCACCTGTACGGCGATTACGGCAAGGCGGCCATCGCGCAGCGGTGCCAGGATGTGGGTGTTGCCCGGTGTCACCACCACCGTCTGGATGGGCACATGCAGGGGAATGTCAAACACGGGTTTCAATCTGTTGTGAAGAAAGATAATAATTGGCATTCAATTTCGTCAGAGATGGGAGAAATTCTCTATCAGGGATTGATTGAAATTTTATGGAAAGTCTGAATAATTGAGTAAACTAAAGAAAAATACATAACTGATTAGTGGGTATTTTATAGTCGAAAGATATAGCGTATAGCGTAATAGCGTCTTATTTGTTATTTCTCAGGAACTGTTTTCGTAGCATAGACCCAAATTCTTAGAAATAGCTCTTCTATGAACTTAAAAAGTTGTTTTTACCCTTGAAGAAGGTATTTTAAAATGAGTCAGAAGTTTGTGGCTATGATTCTCTGAAATCTGATTGCTATAACACTATGCTATGGCCGAGGGCTATAGCTGTCTGCTATTAAACTAATTTTATTGCTATGACACAGTAGGCAGACTGTTGATGCGCGACTCGAGACGCACAAGCGAATGCAGCAAGAGAAGAATGCTCAAGAATAGTAAATATACAGCATAACGTGATATTCAAACTGGCTAGCATGACATCTGCTATGACACTATTAAAGCTGCGTGATAGGTTGGACTCTTACCGAGTACTCGTATTATTTGAACTTTCGAACTTACCCGTGCAATCTGCTCATGGTTATGTCGCCGGCATCATCGGCCACCACCAAGTGATCGGAGGCACAGGCCAGTCCCGTAACCCGTCCCGAAACATACTTCGATCCGAGGCTGGATCCATTGATGCTGTACACATGCACCGAATGCGAGGTGTCGTCCAAAGCGCTGAAGGCAATGTGACCTGCGGCAATTGGGCGAATAGAGAGAATCAAATTTGATAAATATGATATAACACATCTTTAGTGGAGCGATGGGGCGGCTATTGTGGGGGGTAAGCTAGTAATCTATGGCACATTCTTTGATCTTATCGATGCAAAACCGAAACGAGTGGAGCAGAGCGTCGTACAGATTGCGGAATGTGGGGCAGGGCGTGCTTCGTGTTTCGTTTCATCCATCTACGCAGTGGAAATATCAATAGGCAAGCAATAGTCCGGCTATATGGCCACTCTGTGTGTGTGTGTGCGTCAGATAACCTGCCATCGCATCGTCCGCAAAGATTATGACATGGCGACATACTGCTGCAAACCACACACCAGACACCACACACACACCACAAATGTGGCTCCACCGGGCTCTGCTCCCTCTCTCGCGTGCAATGCGTAGTTGCTGTTATCTGTGGGGAGTATCCGTGTGGTGTCTGTGTGCCAATGCCAGATCCGAGAAGAACTCGTTCGGATGGGGAGGAAGAGGAAGACTCTATGCTCAATTCTCTAGATTGGATCTGAATGAACTTCCTAATAGTATGACCGACTCAGATCTAACTAGATATAACCGTGTCTTGCCTGGTCTGGCCTGTGTGGTGTGTGGTTCTTGCCAATCTGGAAATTCATTCAAAAGTTCTCGATCTCCCACACACGCCCATAGATACCGCTACATACACACATATGCACATACATATGTGGGTACTTATATGTTCATCTTTATTAGGGTCTCTTGTCAGAATTTACTACAACTATTTAATAAGAGACTCTCGAATCGGAAAACTGAATGAATCCGCCGGCACTGCGACTCACTCTGACTACGCACGAACGGGGCAAAGCGAGTGGAGGAGAGACACAGGGCGGGGGGGAGTGGGGGACCGAGTGGATACGTCGGGGGCTGTCAAAACGGGAGGGACAGGCGATCGGCGGCTGGGTCGTGTGACTGTGACGCGATTCGTTCGTGGGGCTCGTCGTGCGCTTCTGATTTGATTCCATTAACGACGCGTCGTTTGGGTTAATGCCAGCAGAACCGATTGGATGGATGGAATATGGATGTGAACAATATATGTATGTATGTATGTATGTATGTATGTTCGGGTTGGATGGTGCACTCGTTGGGGGCTGATAGGCAATCGATGGATCTTGCAGGGAGCTGGAGGCGTGGCGTGGCGTGGCGCGGCGCGGCGTTGCGGTGGGATCTTTTCATTAGGGGCGATGTAATTGATTGGTGGGGCTCCCGACAAGAACGCAATTAAAGATCCATAATGTGGCCTGGAAACTCATTTTGCAATGGAATGACGTTTTCGATTTGATTTGAATATTTCTGAGCTGAGCCCACTGCCGGATGTTGCGAATTAATAATCTCAAATACTCGCATGAAAATTGCCTCGATAAGGAGAACTCCTACCCGCCTGCAGTGCGCCAAAAGAACACATGTTCCACATGCATGCCGTATATGTACATACATATATATATGTACATATGTGTGTGAAGAGTTATATGGCAGTGTTATATCAAACTCAAAAGTCCAAGCCGATTGCAAGAGGATCGAGTGGATTTTGAAATCTATATGGCTGAATATTTCAGGAATTCCAATAAACGAGTTGTCGCCCGATTGACGTTGGAATTTACAAATCTGCTATGTGAATATATAATTTTCAATGGTTAAGACACCTCTATTCAATATAAGATATACATATGTATAAATGGAGATTCTTCTGCCGTGCCAGCAATCGTGGGAGACAAGTTTTGTGCACCCTGGCGATTAATTGCTGGAAACTATAAAACTTAATCTTAATTGGCCTTTTATTGGGTCATTTAAAAACCAATTGAAATTTGAGCCTACCAGTTTGATATGCTAATCTTCCAGTTTTTTATGGAACTTTGCCAAGAATCAAAACAGAAATGTTCAAAAGTGCCAATTCATCTGCAGCGCTAAAATTCCTTATTGTTGCGTTATCAGACATGTCCAAACAGTGCGAGTATTCCACTTTCAATGGGCTACAAAATGGTACACGCACCTTGACAGTTGCTATGAGGAATGATGGGAAATACCGAGGCATAGTCGTACGTTTTGTTGGCTGACAAATTTCTAACCTTGTCTACTTTACGAACTCATCTCACATTGTTTAAGCATGCTTGAATTTGGATTAATGACCGCCCTGTCGCCTGTCGCCTTAGCTGCACACCAGATAAGATATAGATTCACACATAGCAGAGTAGAGCAGAACAGAACAGAGCAGAGCAGAGCAGAGAAGTGGTGCCTGGGTGAGGGACCGGGGGACGGGGTA